TGAAATACGGTAACCGCACAACGCGAGTGGGCTTCCGGACAGCTCCAGCGTCGCGGTGTGAACGATTGACTATCGATATTTTCCCATTCGAAGCTGTGGCAAATAATCGATTATCAAGGCTCTCGTGCAAACATCCTGTTTATCGATCCTTTTCCATAGGTTCAAATGACAGATCGATATATCGCACAGGACGCCATGCCATCGGACAACTTCAACGAGCCCTGTGCGAACTCGAGTGCTATCAAAGAGGAACTTTCCAGTTCGGCTTCGCCGAACCAGTTTCAAATGATGCTCAACTAATACACGGAACTGATTATAAGGGGCGCCCTGAACTAGTTCACCCGAAGTTCGTCGGAAGTTCGCCTTTGCCGATGAAATCACGAAGCGTGATCATGTAAATTGAGGCAACCGAGATGCAGGGTTTATTGTTTGTTTAGGCACAACATGGATGAATATAAAATAGCATCTACAGCATATCGATGGCTCAAGTGCAAAACCAAGTATCTCCGTTTGCGACTTTTTGTCGTACTGTATGTTTTCTTTGGAAAACTAGTCGACGTAATTCCTAGAAAACTATTCGACGTAATTCCTGGCAAACTTCCATGATTTTTCTTACCTATCGGCAGAATATGTTCCACAAATTTTAAGCTATAAAGTTGACTTGTTGCTCTTGGAAAAAAAATGAAATACCGGAATGGAGATACGTGGTTTCGCATATTGGCCATCGATATTTTTACCGTTTGCGTTTTCTCCAATGTAATCTCTCGCAATGGTATTGGATAATTGGACCGCGTTAAGCAAAAAGGAACCAAGCCACATCAGCTATTGTTAAATTTTATCGGGCTATTTAATTTTTTGTAAGATATCGTTTGAGAAGACTCCCTTGAAAATTTTAAGTAATTTGCTTCGTACTTTGCAGAGAACTCACTGAAATTTGCACAAAAATCCGTGCAATTTTAAGTAGTGAAAAATCCAAAATCGGGAACGCGGTGGCGGCGATTTATCGATTTTCGATATTTCTCAATTTGAAGTTGTGGTAAAGAATCGATTATGAAGGTGTTCGGTGCGAACAGCCTGTTTATCGATCCTATTCCATTGGTTCAAATGGCAAATCAATCGATATATCGCAAAACGCACGCCACGCCACTGGTATCGTTATTGAAAAAAGTTCTAAACGATAAGAATGGCGACGAATGCGAAAGAAAACTTTTCATTTCACCTTTGAAGTTTAATTGGACGTCTTTTTGCCATAAGGAACTAAAATTTCTGACTCACCTGTACTTAAAAGAACCTATCTGCATAGAGAAACTAATGGCACATACGTTGTTCCTGCAATGAGCCAAAAATTGTAGTTCCTTACCGTAAAATGTAGTTCAATTGATCGGATATAACTGGAACCAGCCTAACTACAGTACTGCCGCGCATCGTATGCAAATCATCTGCAATCTCTGCAAAACATCGTATGAGCATTCGAGAGTAGCTAAATCACCTCGGATAGAACATGAATTTTTGAGGAAAGTTATGCCAATTTTTCCTTTGGGTCTTCAAATATTGTAGGTTAAAGTGCGAATAAAATTGTCTGAAACTTTTCAGTAAAATATTCATAACATTCGAATAAAGTCGTTTCTTTTAAATATGGCGTTTTTTTACGTTACGGCAGAGTAGATATTGGTTCCCTTTTGCTGAACTCGACACTTAAAACTGCCTTGTGCAAATCCATTAAAATAGCATTCGTGCGCAGCCCGTCTCTTAATCTGCAATAAGCCCATTTTAACAGGCCCGCTTCAGTGATGCATCGCTAAACGCCTTCAGATTCTCGGGTAGGCAATTTCGCTTCCCGGAAGTTAGAATAGTTATCTCTCGAGCGCCTGACGCTTATTAAAGCTTCGCTCGCCGATATGGATGCGAGAGAACTCAAAACGCCTCCATTTATTCGCATGCAACCCGCCCAGTCGCAGAACAAGAATTGTTGCTTCCAGGCTTCCACATTTAAAGATAGCGTTGCTTTTTAGTTTGCGCTGCAATTTCTGGCGCAGTTGAAAAACAACGTATGTGCCATTAGTGTCCCCATGCACATACGTGTTCTCGCGGATGAGCCAGAAACTTCAGTTCCTCGCCGCAAAAGGAAGTCCACTTGGATCGCGTTTAGCAAAAAGGAACCAAGCTTATTGCCAAAAATTGGACAATTTAATTTTCTACAGGAGAACGTTTGTGCGGACTCCTGTGAACATTTCAAGGAATTTGCTTCGAACTATGCACAAAATTCATTGAAATTGTGCACAAAAATCCGCACAACCGTTTTTATGTAAAAATTGAATTGCCCAGTTATAGCAATGGCTGATGTGGCTTGGTTCCTTTCTGCTTAACGCGGTCCAATTATTCTACACTCAAGTACATTCTATCATAACGAACGTCAGCGGAGATAGTAATTTGACTGCCGTAGTCGTCGTTAGTACTTCTCTGCCATCATTTTCCCACCATGTGGGTGCGTGTGAAACTGTTCGGAGTTTGTGGACTTTTCAAGAGCGGTTATATCCAGTATTTTGACTCCAAAAATACGCAATAAATCACCACACAATTTGCTCATTTGTATTTACAGAATATTAAATGAAAGACGCAAGGTTAGGGACCCATTCTGCCGTGCTGAGAAAAAACTCCGTATGAACATTCGAGAGTTGTCAAATTTCCTTCAGTAAAATGATTATTCTTGAGGATTGTTATACATATTTTTCCTTGAAAGTTTCAACAACTTTAGGTATGATTGTAAACAATATTATCTGAAAAATCGGAAGAAAAATATTCATAAGTCTACCAGAAAATTCGTGTTTTATAAATGGAAATTTGGCAACGCCTGGGGGTTTATACGGCGTTTTCTCTTAGCACGGCAGCATTCGATCGCAACCAGTTCGAACCATGCATACCCACACGATCTGGCAACAGGGGAAGCCGCCCACCGCTTGTTTTACCCAACGTTTTGGAAAGAGATAAACTGAACAAGCGCAATATTTCCTTGCAGTTGGTTTTTATTATTTTTCTGAGTGATTAATTGGCCCCAGATGAGCGCATCGCTGCAGCTGCCCCCTCCCCCTAACCGTACAGCTCTGAAGCCGCAACGCGGGGTGGTCGGGTGGCTGCAGTAAGGGTAGCGAATTGTGGATTCGTGGCCGAGTTTTTGGATCCATCAAAATTTGACACGAAGTAAAATACCGAGCATTGCCAAATTGCCAGCATGTCGACCGTCGGGCTGACGTTGCCACCATTTTTTACCTTTAAAATTGGACGCATTTATGCTATAAGGAACCACATTACTTTTCAAAAGTAACTCCTACACTCTGAAAATATAGTTAGGCGAGATCTCTAAAATGTACTGTTATTTTCGAGCCTCGGATGCCCGTACTATTCAGCCTCGGATAATGGCATTTAGTGACGCACAATTACTACTGCACTGCGAAAATAAAATCATCTATATCACTTTCTCAAGGGCATTTTACGCAGATAAAGTTTTCCGATTTGCGGTATTGACGTTTGAGCTTTCAGGAAGAAAATACGGAAAAAAACATTGATTTTTTTCGAAGTGACGCATTTAGTACTACTTTCTATCTGAAATAGCGTGAAAATGAGTGACACTCCGACAGATATAGGACGTTCCTCTTTCCGTATTGAGAGTGATGCGAGTCCAGATTCCGGTCGAACAATAATAGACCGTATTCGATAACGGTTCGATGTATCGTTTGGTTCAAAACAATAGAACATAACCTCAAACCAAACTGTAAGGATTTTAATTGAAAAAGCTGAAAATGAGAAATTTCCTGACAATTTCACTTTGCATTGGCATTTGGTACTCAAAAGAATAAAAAATCTGTTTCAAAAGATCCGTTCTCTCAGATTTCTGAATTTACTTTTGAGGCTATGTTTATGTTTTGAACCAATCGATATCGATACAATCTCACCCGTTTGATGTATCGAATACGATCTATAACGTTGACGAAACACATTGAATAAAACGCATTGGAAGCAGACAAGAATCGTCGTGACGGAAAATGAAACGCATATAGAAGCATGCTAAAAAATCGCTATGACGCATTTAACATTAGAATTGATCACAAACAACCCTACATTTTAACTCCTCAACCTCCTAATAGCTTGAGTGCTGTTTTTGCCCCTCCTTTTCGAGCTTGCTTATTTAAAGTGTGACGTATCTTTCCTTCCTCCGACTTGAACCATCGTCATTCAGCTGATGAACAGCTCGTCCGTTCCGATTAGCTACCCCCCGCATTCGAGCCGGTACTCGTGGAAATTGACCTCGGTTCTCAGTTTTACGTAGTGCATCCAGGCCCGCCACATTCCATCTCGGGCCCTGGTACCAATTTTCTGGCCCGGGCCCCTAGCACAGGGGGGGGTCCGGGGGGCCTCCCCCGGGAAATTTTTGAAATTTTAAATCTATTTGGACGCATTATGAAGCTCTTATGATGGAGATTTTCCATCAATTTCTGCAGAATAATTACGCCTTTTTGTTTACTTTCAGCACCAAAAACTTTCGAATTGTTGCATTCAAAACATCTATACATTTTTTTTTGAGGGAGCAGATGATAATTTTCAATTCTATGGGGAGCCGGGCCCCCCTGGACTCCCCTTTCGTACGTTTATGGCAAGGGAGTTAAGCCATTGAAGTCGAGGATGCCCAGAAAGGAGCCTCTTAGTATCCGACAACGGAAGAAAATGAAACACAGTTACTAAAAATATCATTCTACATATACTCAAAATCTTGAAAATCTCTAAAAAAGTAAGAAAAACTTTATAGTGCCCTAGCGTGTTTTTGAAACTTTATTCACCTTTTGCGGAATTTTTAGGGTAATTTTTTCACTTTTCCCTACGAGACAAGGGTTACACATGAATTCGTAGTGGTTTGCCACCTGCGTCACGGGCCCCTCCAGGGCCCGGGCCCCGGTACCAGGGACCCAGTATCCCCCCCCCCATTGTGGCGGGCCTGAGTGCATCATTCGAAAATCATGATTTCTAATCGTTTTTGTACTTTGGTTTTCTTCATACTGGGATTCTGGACAAGCATGGTAAGGATGACCATTTGAACTTGCTTTAACTCTACGGTTCGGTGAGTGGAATGAGATACTAGACAGTATCATTTGATTTTGATAACTATAAAAAAAAAATAGATAAAAATTAAATCACGCATTTTTTTCTTCAAATCTTAGTAGAAAACGATTCACACGAACGTTTGAAAATCAACACCAGAGATGTATTCGCATTTTTTTTTTTTAACACAGACCAAATGAAAATTAAATACCACAAATGACGTCTTTTGTATTTTTGTCAATGGACCAACATAGGTTGTAAATGATTGTATCTTGTCGAGGAAATGATATCCAGACTTCTTATCATGTGTTTTGGTATCCTAATGGAAGTTTGAAGAGAAAAAAATTGGTATCCTGCGCTTTGATATATGTCTTTCAAAGTGCAAAACCACGTATTCCCCTTGCGGTGTTTCAACATTTCCGCTCCTAGTTTATTTTTTCGAAGGAAAACAAGCTGATTTCATGGCTTGAAATTTATACAGGATGATCTGTAAATAGAGAAGAAAAATCAAGGAAATTTTCAAGAACTTACGGTGACTAGTTTTTCAAAGAAAAAATAAAGTATGACAGGAAATCAGCTACGCCGCATACGGAGATACGTGGTTTCGCCTTCTAGACATCGATATCTTGTTTACTGGCTTATTGTGTTGCACGATTCACGTGCATTTTATAGTTACGAGAGAGAAAACTTACGTAGGTAACGCGTCTATGTTTGTTTTATGGAAGAGCCAGAGATATGGGTTCCTTACTGCAAAATGTAATCCACACTGAAAAAAAAATCTCGGTGCATTTACTAAGAAAAGGGTAAAATTACCAAGAATTCAGAGCTCTGTTTGATCCCAGTTTTTTCTTGGTAAAATTACCATTTATGAAATTGGTAATTTTATCGAAAAATATCGGTAAAATAATTGAACTCTCTCGGTAATTTTACTGGACCTTGCTAAAAACGCCAATATTTTTTATCGACTGTGGTAGAATTACCGAGATAAAGTTGGCGTAAAATGGCAAAGTTACCGGGAATTGATTACCAATAAAAGTGGTACTCTTACCTGAAAAATTCAGTAAAAATACCGGTTTTTAGGTAAGCTTATCATTCTGTCTTAGTAAAATTACCAATAATTGGTAAAAAAAGTGAGATGGTAAAGGTACCAACGGACCTTGGTAAAAACGCCGAGAATTTTTTTCCAGTGCAATTCTTCATGACTTCCGTGATTTATCTCTCCTGTTCAAAGAAAACTATCTTCATTGATTTATTCCAAAAAAAAAAAAAAAAAAAAAAAAAAAAAAAAAAAAAAAAAAAAAAAAAAAAAAATTGGAGTGGAGATTTTTAAACGCCGCAAACGAGGCGTGTGGTTGGGTAGTTTTATCGTCGATAGCGTGTTGACCCTAGTCATTTAGTGAGTAAATTTACATTATACATAATATTGGTCGATGTAAAAAAAAACCCAAGAAGGTGGATTTTTCTTCAATAAATTTAATTTTGATAACAGGTAGCCGGGCGAACGTTAGGAAAATGGCTTTGGCAGGCTAAGAATCCAAAATTAAGTTGGGATCAAATCAAAAAAGATCTCCAAATTGTCGCGGACCCGACGAACCCTTGCAAATCTCTGCCAGCCCGCCCGAATCTAGATGAATTGTTCGAGGCCAACCGGTACTGCAAAAATGCTCACGAGGGTTACTTGCAGCATTATCTCCCATCAAAAAGAGGGCTCTTCAAAAATAGATGCCGTGGCTCCAACTACAAATATTTCCCATCTCCTGCGTGCAACCCAAGGAACGAACAAGCACGAAGTGACTTCAGGTGCACCGTAAGCAAGGGGAGTGGGTTTCGGCTCTTAACCTGTCGTCGTCCCTGGTACATTGAGGTTGACCTCGAGAAATGCGTCGAAGGCTGGAATGAATTGGGCCGCGACAAAATACCTGCAGAGGAAGTGCCCGTATCTATAATCCACGAATCTCAGTAATAATAAAATAAACACTAGATTCCAGGCCATGACAAACGCAACAAGGAACAGCCACTCTCTAAGGCGCGGCCGAATATTTTTTGAAAAACTTCCCGCAAACCTGAAATCCAAATACAGGGACCCAAATTTTTTAAATGTACTAAAACAATTTTTTATTGCCAAGTGTTTGTATAGTGTAGCAGAATATTTAGCTTAAGTTCTGTAATCTCTTTTCCCTTCNTTTTTTTTTTTTTTTTTTTTTTTTTTTTTTTTTTTTTTTTTTTTTTTTTTTTTTCTTATATCCTAACTAATTTTGACATATTTGTTTTCGCCGTTATAAATGTGCATTTACAAATAAAGTAAATTATTATTATTATTATAAGCACGGGGAAATAGTGAAGCCTGGTTTGGCGCTGGGTGCTTGTAGAGTCCCTTTATACTAAGAGTCAAGACAATGTGAATCCATTTCTGATTGGTTCCCGTATTTTAGGCCTTCACAGTGTCACAAACGAGAATAAAGATTACATTTTCACCGATTGCAAAGATTATAATCTGGAATGGACCAGGGAATTACGGGTTCGGCAAGGAACAAACGGAATGAGAGAAGGAACGGAGAGAGGAATTTGAGAATGGGCCGATCAAAGATTACGAAAAGCGTTCGATTTGTGTAATCTTTATTCCCGTTTGTGACTCCATGAGGGGTGTTGTCTTGACTCTCAGTATAAAGGGACTCTAGGTGCTTGTGTGCGTGTGTAAATGAGCGCGGGAATCCATGGCGGCAAACGGAAATTTGCTTTGAACTTGTCCTCTTGATTTTTCCACATTTCTTCTTCGAAACGTATTTTAAATGCCTAAAACGAATATATTAAGAAAGTTAGGACTGCGTCCTATTACAATACACCTACTTTTGCTCGGTAACAGGCAGTAATCTCAGATAAAGTTAGTTTTTCTTCTGCTCATGGTGGTTCTGCCGGATCAAACAGGCCGTTACAGTCGTAGATGACCCTTACTCCCAAATGAAATTAATCGGTCGACGACGGACCAAAACTAACCTAAAGTTATAAAAATATGAGTGTGTAAGTGAATTTGGGCAAAAATCAACCTAAAATACTTTGTTTCCGCAATTTTATGTAGTTCCCGCCCTACATTTGAATTTCAAACTTTTCCCGATTTCGCCGCCAATCCTCTAGCCAATAGTAGAGGTGGTTGAAAAGAAGCTTCATTTTTTGCTTTTAGCCCTCCGTCTTTATGTCTTTGGCCGCGACTAAGAATCGGTCTCTGGTAGAGGGTGCGCAAGTCCACAAAGCTGTCGTGGAGCAAGATGACCTACAGTTCTTCATCCCCTGAAGTTGTAGAGTAACCCACGATCTTGGTCAGCGGGTACCTAAACCTTGTGTTTTTTTATTTATTATTCTAAGAAGGAATCTACGAACTCTGAAATTTGCAATCGCAAAATAGACAGTTCGAAGGTTGTCACACTCAGGGAAAACCAGGAAATGTCAAGGAATTTTAACAAGTCAGGGAAAAAACTAACAACTCTTTCGCTTTTTAGTGTGGGTTTGACGTTTCGGAAAACAAATTTTGCTAGAAAAATATTCCTAATTATGTATTTTTAGCCATTTGGCATATCATCAATTTGTAGGGAATTTCACCAAAATGTGTCAGGGACTTGAGGGAAATGCCAGGGAATTTCATTTTCTAAATTCTCTAGTAACCCTGCTGAATGCGAAACACGTTTTATAAATGCGACAAAACAAATGAACTGGAAAAGAAACCAGAAACGGATCTCGGGACTAGGAAGAAAACTAGACTTAATCACTAAGGACAAATAAACAGGACCATATCGATTAAAACAAAGAAAGGACCAAGAAGATCTTAGGCGACCACAACCACAACAATTACAAGCTGATGTAGTGCCCCAGGGCGGTGCCAGCATTATTCCAGTTTCGTCTCATCTTAACTAATTATCATCGTAAATTAACTTTTTATAAATTTTCTCAGCATACCTTAAAATGTCAGAGAAAAATCAATTAAATGGAATAAAATAAAAACTAAAAAAAATTAACACTCTGTAAGTATCAGGTGAGTAGATTTACGTGATGATTCATCGCGTATTTTTCGAGGCATCATCCCGGACAAAGCCGCTTTTATGAAGTCCCAAGACCCGAATGGATTTCGATCGCGCCCAAACGGCGAGAAAATGTTGGCGATGATGTACCACGGCAGTTAAATCCCTATCTCTTTTCTTTTCACTCTCCATGTATGTTTTTAAAATAATGTGTATTTCAATGCGGAATTGTTGCTTACATCCCACAATTAAAATAAATAAAAGTCGATCTTTTGATTCTAAAGATATAGTTTTGACTTTTAAGGTGGAGAAATGGTGCTGGGTCCACACCATTTCGCGAGGAAAACAAAGCCAAGAAGATCCAAAAATTATATTCAGAGTCGAAAATAAATTTTTTTGAACTCTAATGCGCACCAGTACAAAACTGAGTACGTTTGACCTGTACGTTTTGACTTTCATATTGTTTTCGTGTACGAAGAGGAGATATAGGAAGTCCTAGAAACCCATGCTTGCTTCTGATCGGTGCCGAATGACATCGTTTGGTTCGCCACGAAAGGGGGGTCTCCTATTTTAAAGAAAAGTTGCAGTTTTTGAAATGCGAATTAATCCGGTTCTGAGTTTTATTTTCGCGTTTTTACCTACTATGTGCATCTTGTTCTACGTGTCATTTACCATTGGGAGATTGTATTCGCAAGGCAAACTTCGTTCACAGTTTAGCAACCTACTTTTAAAATACTTAAAAAATAGGATAGAAAAAAGTAAATATGGACAAGCAACGCTACAAACTTCGAAACTCTAAAAGCGCAGAACGTTTCGTGCCGTCCCAGGCTCATTTTCACGCACAAAAACTAAGTTTTTTCCCCTAAAAATAGGCTTGTTACGGCTCGAAACGTTCTNATGGTTTGACGTTTTTAGCGTTGTTTACCCAATTTTTTTTTTTTTTTTTACTTTTTTCGATTGTACTCGTACATAAGAACTGTTTTCGTGTGGTTTAAAAATAGTTTTAATATTGATTGTAGACTTTACCTTTTTTTAAAAATTATTTTCTAATGTCATTTTAATAATATTTACGATATGCAATAAAATAATTTTACGTTGTTCTGAAATTAATTTCTATTTTTTTTTTTAAGAAAATATTAATTATACTTTTACTCTTTACAAATAATGTAAACCTATCATGAAAATATATTTTATATTGTACCATCACTGTTTTTGATGGAAATGTTGTATTTGCCTCAGTTTTGCCCCGAAGTTAAAGGAAGCTACTTTTGGGAATCCTAAAAATGTTATGAAAATTGGCAAGAACCTTAGGGATTACAGGGATGGTCTAAGACTTTCAGATCACCCTGTGGAATGAATCACCAGAAAACATATTTAGCATTTTTATGTTAGTTTCCTCCTCAAAATTCCACCTTAAGAACGACGTGAGCAATGGCAATCAATTATTAATGAAATTATCTTTTAACCAAGATATTAACGCCTTTATTTAGCATGGATTATGAACAAATTGAATGTCCCGCTCACATGAAAAACCAGAGTCTACTTGCATCAAATTGCGCACTACAAGTCCACAATTCGTCGTATCCTGTACGGAGGAACGTAACTTCACTCCAAGGTTACAACATCGACTCAAAAAATATGATTTTTTACAAGAATGTACACTGGAAAAAAAAACACATTGGATCTAGAGTCTATAGACTCTTGAAAACATCGACAAGAAAAAGCAAGCGGGAAAGTTCTAATACTGTCGCATTAGAAAAGCGCTCAGGTGTTAGTAAATGTATTTAAAGAAGGAAGGAAGTATAAACTCCGTCGACTTGGCTGGGCAATGGAAATAAAACATCAGCTGATAGCAAACAAAGGTTACGAAGGAAACCGTAAACGCGTCTTTTCGTTTCCCGAAAATGATAGCCACCGTTGAGCTCATCAGGCGCGTTTTTTTAGGCCTCTTTTATTTTCAACGATCAATTTCGATAAGAATTACTCTACCGCTAAGGAAATTTCTTATAGACAAACAATCGTAACTACTCGCGCATTACGTTAAAAGCATAAAATACGGTTATCACAACTTTTTTTTTTTTTTAAAACTGGCCCCCCCCCCCCAAAAAAAAAAAGCCCACACATCGATGAGCTGGTGCGCCATTTAAACGAATTAATACTAGTATACTAGTATTCTAGAGGCAAGTCAAAATCAAAAAGCGCTGCCTATCGGCTGAGCGCTTAATACTCTTGATTCAATCGGATTTTTGCTTAGATCAAGAACCAAATCTCTTAATTTGAGTGGATTTCCTTTTGATTTAAGCAAAAATCTGATCAAGAGTATTTTTTCTTGTCAATGTTTTCAAGAGTCTTGACTCTAGATCCAATGTGTTTTTTTTTTTTCCAGTGTACCCGAGCAATTCCCGTCCAAAATTTGTCTGATTTTTGCTCGAGATCCGAGGAAATACAATTGAGATTTTCAGTAGGAAATGTCCAAGATTTCTTCAGGAAAATGCTATATGCGAGGGGAAATTTGGCAACATTGAAATGTAGTTACGTTCTTTCATGAGGTCGTCACCTTCCAGGCAAAGTATCACAAGCGCCATGCGACGTTTAAAAATTTCCGCCGCCATTTTATTTTTTTACTGAGAAATTGTTGGTTGAATCTGTTCGAAAATTCCACTAAATTTTATCGGCAGCACAAAGAAAATTCGGTGTAATTTTCGGACAGCTTCGTTGAACAATTTCTCTGTAAAAAAATATAATGGCGGCGGAAATTTTTAAACGTCGCATGGCGCTTGTGATACTTTGCCTGGAAGGTGACGAGGTGAGGAATAGAAACAGGTCGATACCTCGAAGGGTATCACTTTGGTGGTTGCGGGTTTGTTTGCTTGCCAGCCGAGGACAGGGGATCCAGTTTGGAACGTTCCCAGGGAAATAAATCCCCCAAAACGTATCTAGACCCAATTATTCTCGGTCTTGGAGCAACAAACCGGTCAGTGCAGGTTTCCCGCTGTCTCCGTTCACGATTAATAATGTTCCAAATCCGATCGAAGTGAAACATGAAGTTGCAAGTTTCGAGTTGTACCGAAAAACCAAACGACTCTGGTCAACGGAGTCAATTGAGAATTGGACTACATTTTGCAATCAGGAACTACAATTTCTGGCTAAATTTATAAATGACGTATGTACCCTTAGTTTCTCTAGGCAGATAAGTGTTTTTACGGATGAGTAAAAAA